TCTTAAATTAAGAAATTATTTCAATTAAACCCTCGAATTAAGAAATTAAATCAATAAAACACTTTGATTAAATTTTATTATCATTTTTTAACAGTTTACATATGTATAATATTATTATCATGTAATATATAATAAATTTTGTCTTGTGGAGTATTGTGGGTTTTTTTTATATATTAGTCATGAAGATAACGGGTTGGTTGATAGCAACTTAGAACCTCACATTGACTTTAGTGTGGCTTAAAATAACTTGCCAATCTTGTAAATGTGGCACATGCACACCCACGTCCATATATCTTCCTTTAAATTTATGCATATAGAGTAATATCTTGAAAGAGATGTATTATTAGGTACTTTAATCACATACTAATTTAAACTTTATTTTTCAAAATATAAGTTATCCCATGACTGAAAGTTGGGGAGATTAGAGTTATGTTTATAGAGTAGATATGCTATTTTGGATTGGAGGTTCAAGCTTTTGCCTTTTCAGCCTTTCCGGCCAATGCTTTGATCCCAAATCATTAAGGCCTGGCCATGTGATGGAGTTGGCTTTTCCATTTCCCTTGTTATCATTATAAATCACACGCGGATTATACGTCATCGAAAAATATTATGTGTTTAAATACATTTAAATTTATGATTTTTAAATTATTATAACAACAATGAGCTGTACAAGATAAGACTTAATCAATGAAGGCAATTTTGTTTTCCAATCTGATGGCATCGACCATTTGAGTTTTACTTTTACCAATACCAGCTGCTAAAACCTCTCCATTGGTTGATCTTGAGATGGATAAAGTTCGTCAGTACAATCAGATCAAACTGTTAACTTCTCAATAGATAATATTAGTTAAACTTAAAATAACATATTCTTTAGAGTTTGTGTCTCAGTTCTGCTCCATCCGGTTTGAAAATTTTGTAATGTAATATATTTGATGAAGAAATACACTAAGAGAAAAAAAAAAGGAGATCTGTAATGGATGTAAAGACTTCAAAATCGATTTGGTCAAAAGTGTGGGATAGGATCTCACGATATAGTATAGTCTTATCCATCTAGGGTTACTGTGTTCGTGCAAATATAAACATATATGCCAAAGATTTCAATATTATATGGTTTACAGTACTATCGTAAAATTTATCGTCGAATTATAGTAAAATTTTCTCATTTATTTGTGATTTTTTTATATAATTTTCTGTGTTCTTGTTTTTCTTTGTTCTTGTTTTGCAATAGTTTATTCAACGTTATTTGTAATAATATTAATTATATAAAAAATACATATATAAGAAAAGTAAATTTGTATTTAAAAAATATATTCCTTCCCTATATTAATTTATCTATTTTTAGAAATAAAATATTGATTTATAAAAAATCTAAAAAAAAATTAAATAAGATACGCAAGAGATTATTGAACTATATTAAAATGATATCTTTGATAACAAACTTTCAAAATAATTATAGAAATATTATTATAATTTATTAAATTATTATTAAACTTACCAAAATATTACAAGATATTTTTTTGAATAAGCTGAAGTGATTACAATATATTGTTTGTAATAATTTTCTAATATTTAAAAGTTTATTAATAAATTTTTTTTAATTTAACTCAATAATTTTTTATATATACTTTACTTATAAATTTTATTTAATTTTCACTCGAGATGTAAGTGTGGGATTGAGATTTTGTTAAATAATAATAAATGTCAAATTAAATGGTCCCTAAATAAATAAAAGAACGAATTTAGGGTAAAGAAGAAACATATTCAGGTGTGGACAGGGAAGGGTTTGAAGTCGGCCGCTGAACCGAGTAAATTATTCATGAGATTGGTTTGAAAGCTGTTTGAATTATTCGTGGAGCGGTAGGTTTGGGAGGCCGCTGAACAGAGTAAATTGTCACACGATGTTGGCTACAATAATCTGACAGGAGGAATTATCATTCAGTTTTGCCTATTCCTCCAGCTGATCGGTTTAGGAAATCCCACGAAGAGAGGTAAAAAAAGCGCACCAGGAGTTTGTAAAAAAGGCTAAATGACTTGCATCTGTATTTACTTTGTTCTTTTTTTTATTATTATTTATGGATTTGGGTTACTTGTATGATTGCAGAATGGTACCTCTGGAAGCAATTGTGCCGGCAGCTCAAAACAATATAAACACTCAATTCATATTATCAGAGAAAGGCAAGACAACGTGGGATGGTCAAAATAAGATGTGTGTCCGCTCTTGGGTACTATAAAATGGGTGCGGATATGTGTGCAAGTATATATAATTGAACAAGTAATAAAGTGATAAGTAGAGTATCGTCTCCACAGGAAATTGGGAAAATCAAATAGATTTCTCAATGCACTTTACTTTGTCACCTAAGTAAAGTTAGTGATAGTATATACAAATGATAATGTTGTGGTAAAATAGAATGACTGGTGTGAAAATGGAATGATAGTAATGTGGTAGCAAATGGATATGTCGTAGTAAATTAAAATGTAATGCAAGCAAACAAATGTAAATGCTAAGGCAAAATAAAAATGCAAATACTAGATTTAATATATAGGACTTTAACTTTCTCACACGACAAGCAGTTATGGGAATGAGCGATGGGAGTCACTAGAAAACCTAAGTCTATTTCTCTGAATGGTATTTCCTTTATGTTTACCTTGCCCGACAGAGTCTACTGAAGTGCCCTATGCTATCTCTAGTAAGGGACTCAACAGATTAAAGATGCCTTGGTAAGTCCGATTGGCGTAAACCCTTGCAGTGATCCTATTGGTTCAGATAACAAGATATGTATCGGCAATACCTTTTTGCGGCAACATTAACATCTAACCTATCGGTTATGCTCAACTCTTTTTAGTCGAATAAAATCATATCCTTATCTCTAAGGTAGATTAAGCCTAGTTACTACCTAGAACCCGTTGTTTATGTAGTTCATCCCTAGTTTCTCTCGAAGACTAAAGATATTTTTCCAAGGTATTCTCTCGAACCCAATGAACCTCCTAAGGAAAGGCTACTCTCGTAGCTCCTACAACCTTAAGGCTTTACGTCTTATAAACAAAACAGAATAACGCATAACAAAGTAACCATTCATTAAAATAAAAACTTAAACATTCAAGTGAACTCCCACCAAATATGATTAGTTCATGGGGCTCGAAATAAACAAGTTCAAGACAAGTTCCATTCGTTCTTTACAGCCCAATAACAAAATATGAAAGCAAATAACTAAGGAGAATAGATAAAGCCTTCGACGTGCACTGCTCAATGCTCCTCTCGGTCACCAAGAACTGCTCCCATCGGACTGGCTCCTCTTGAATGCTCAGAACGCCACTCCCTTCTGCTAGTCAAGGAGAAATGCCACGGCAAGACGGATTGACTGAGAGAGTTGAGACCTTCTCACTCTAACTTTTTAAACTCAAATCAGTGTGGAACTAAAAATCTTTTTCATTTTGGCTTCATCCTCTATGTATAAGGAGAGAAAAACCCTAGGAATTGGTGTTGAAATTCCTAGGATACCCCAACTTTGCTTGATTCTCGTGAGGATTGGGCAGTGGTCCAGCATGGGCATCTGAAAATGGCTCATACTGGGTGGTTGGCTGAGCACCTGACATCTGCAGCAGGGCAGCATGGTGCAGCATGGGCGGCATGGTGCAGCATGGCATTTGCAGTGCTAATCTAGGTGGATTTCTCGCTCTTGGTGAAAATGGGAGACAACTGGCTTCAAAAATATCTTCTAACACTTTGCTCGCTTTTGAAATGCCAACCCAACTCGGCATTTTAATTATGCTCAGCAGTCTCCTTATGTCACGGCATTTCCCTTTCTCCTTTCCTTGCTCTCAATTCCAGCACATCATTAGACAAACACCTTCCCCATAAGGCAGTACTGATGACGAATTAAAATGCCGCGGCAAACCGAATTCCACCACATACAACTAAATGCTTCTAAATGCATCTATATGGTTCTAAATGAGCTCTTAGACATTCAATAACTTAAGTGAAAATGTCCTAAAATGTGACATTTTTACGGAGTTATCAATGTGCTTGGCACTTGTGGCGGACAAGACAACAACAATTCACTTGCAACTTTGGGGTGAGGAGTGTGATGCATTCGAGGCAGGTGGCATTATTAGAATGGAGAACAGCATTTTCTCCTACAACAAGAACAATTTGGTGTTGCGAGCAGGCAAGAGAGGGAGGATAGAGAAACTGGGAGAGTTCACCATGGAATTTGTTGAAACTCCCAATTTGAGCGAGATCAAATGGGTTTCTGATTCTAACAATTCCAACAAGTACGTTCGACACACTGCCATTTCCCCGCATTCACGTATCTTCCCCCCAATTCACTAGCTTTTATTTCTTTATGGGGTGTCTTTATGTTCCCATGAAATTCCAAATATTTTGTCATTAAGGCTTCGGCACTACCGGGATCCATCGGCACGACGGTCGTGTTGTCACTAAGGCTTCGGCATTGAGACTTCAAGAAAGCTGCATTAAGTTGCATTCAACGAAGGATCTTGATCTCCTCTTCCAGTAAAGTTGTATAGCCTGTTGCTGAAGGTATTGCAGTGACCTACTCCAATCGTATGAGCGCCTGCGTTCAGCGTTCAGTTAGCACTCAATTCAATCATATAATTTGTTTAATCAGAGTAGAGATATGAACAAACTGCTTCATGCATAATTAATCATACAAAAAACTCTCACTATGTTCAATGATGACTTTCCTAAATTCATGGTTAAATGAAATTTCTCATGTTGTTTTTAAAGTTTTTATTAAACTAAAAATTTACAAACTCTGCACTTCAAAACACTCTTTATCTACAAACTCTTGTGAAAAAAAGAAAAGAAAATCTGTTTACCTCCCCAAAGCGTTGATCATCATGCACGTCAGCACCAAACAAAACTTAGTGCGACCTTATGGCCCACCACTAACAAAACCTTATCCTACACGGTTTAGATCAACGGGTCAGATCTTCTACCACACGCGAAGTGCTTCATTCCACCTAGACAGACCGGCTCAATTACCGGTTCCGTCTCCGTAATTTCAGGCTCCATCGATATTGATTCACCATCAATCATCATCCGGCGGCAAACGAGACCTAATGTCGCTGTTCCTAGGCGGCGAAGGCTCCACTTCAATAATGTGTGGTTCACGTACTCTGCCGTTTGACCCAAAAATAGCACACAACTTGGAAACCAACCGCTTCTCTTTCTTCTTCTTTTCTCTTTAACTGCTACGACGTCGTCCGGGTTTTGGCACTTCTTTTTGAGTGAGCGACTCCGGTCTCACCTCGATCTCACTCTTCCCATACAAGAAACCTTAGGCGAAGACGGTTCAACAACTGGCGGATCCGATTTAACAGAACCGGGACGTTTAGGAAACAATACAGTATTTCCAGGCTTAGCTTGCTTCCTGTTCTTCGCTTCAATAAAGCAAGATTTCTGTGGTTTCGGTAATCCGAAGATAAAGGCTTTAGATTTTCTAACGGGAAAGCGTTGAGAATTGGAGTCCGAGTTCAAATTAGGATTAAGATCGGTAGAGTTGGAAGCAGAGTTAAAAAAAAAACGCGCACCAGGTGATTGAAAAAATGGCTAAATGACTTACATCTGTATTTACTTTGTTCTCTTTGTTCTCTTTTTCTTTTTTATGGATTTGGGTTACTTGTATAATTACAGGATGGTACCTCTGGAAGCGATTGTGCCGGCAGCTCAAAACAATATAAACACTCAATTCATATTATTAGAGAAAGGCAAGACAACGTGGGATGCTCAAAATAAGATGTGCTTGGCGCTTGTGGCGGACAAGACAGCATCAGTTCACTTGCAACTCTGGGGTGAGGAGTGTGATGCATTTGAGGCAGGTGACATTATTAGAATGGAGAACGGCATTTTCTCCTACAACAAGAACAATTTGGTGTTGCGAGCAGGCAAGAGAGGCAAGATAGAGAAACTGGGAGAGTTCACCATGGAATTTGTTGAAACTCCCAATTTGAGCGAGATCAAATGGGTTCCTGATCCTAACAATTCCAACAAGTACGTTCGACACACTGTCATTTCCCCGCATTCACGTATCTTCCCCCCAATTCACTAGCTTTTATTTCTTTATGGGGTGTCTTTATGTTCCCATGAAATTCCAAATATTTTGTCATTTGTGTGGGTAGCTGAGTCATGCCAGCTTTGAATCTAAAACTAAAATGTTATGTTAAGTAGGTGTGCTAAAATGTAATTGGAAATCAACTCAACTTGCTAACTAGATTCTCCGCCAAAACAATGATTAAATGGAAGAGACTTTTAATTACAAAGATTAAATCAAAATTATTTATTTATTAAAAACGACCACATAGAACGGACATAACCAAGCTTATCGTGGAAGCAATTGCGCTGTGTTCTGGCATTGAAATGGCTCATGAGAACGGATGGTCTGCTGTCGACGTGGAGAGTGACTCCTTAGCGGTGGTCAACAAACTCCTCTCCCCCAATCTGGACTTATCTGTTGCGGGCTACCATCTCCAGCATGCTCGATCTATTCTAAGGAGTGAAGAGAGCTTCAGTGTTAAATATGTTCCTCGTACTGTAAACCGAGCTGCCCATGAGCATGCAAAATGGGCTTTGTCGTGTACCTCTCCAACGTGATTCGTTTACGAACACCCTGAATGTATCTCCAATGTGGTTGTACTGGATGCTTTAAATTTAGATTAATGAATGAATGTTTTTCCTAAAAAAAAATAATACATTATTACGGTGAAAGGATGACCGTACCTCGTATTTTTTGTGCTGAACTTAGGAGTTCAAAGAATAAGAATTTCTTTATTACCTAGATTATTGAGGTGTGTGCTGTGTTTATAAACTTAAATATTAAATAAATTGTTTTTTCTATTTGAAGTTTAAATATAAAAAATGATTTTTTTTACTAAATTAATATATGCGAGAAACAATGAAACTTCATAATCTACTCAAAATATAATTAAGAATTGACCCGTCATTTCCGTGACTTGTATATAATAAGTCCACCATTAAACTTGGAAACGCATTAGGTCCAAGAAATTAAATGTAACCAAAGCTTAAGGCTAGAGGCCTACCAAAATCAATAAAGCTGTTAGTAAGTCTGTACAGATTTAGTGATCTTTTATGTTTTTTAGCGTCGTATTTAGGGACGTATATTAGACCTAGATGCTTCTCTTTTGATTCAATTTAATCTTATAAAATTATATATATATATTTTTTAAAAATAACTAAGTTTAGATCAAATTTTTGTAGGCTTAATACAAAAATAAATACAAAAATTATGTCTCGAAAAACGTTTTAGTGTCTAAAGAATTTTTCGTTAAAAATAAGTGTCTAACGTTTTCTCCGTTACAATTTTAGATGTCCGAGTGTTAACCGTTGTTAAAAACTCCCGTTAAATGACATGTGTTATATCCTGGTAATTTTAAAAAATTTTATTTAAAAAATATATTTAAACAAAACCAATTTTTTTCAAATCTTAAAAAAACCCAAAACTTTTAAAACATTAATTTTAATTCATTTGCCACAGCCGGCCACCACCAACACTATAAATCGGTCGAAAATCCAACGGCGTGTGACTGGTCAACCACCCACGACGAAAATCCCCATACTTTCGCAACCAACAAACACTAAATCCCCTATATTTATAAATTCATTCAAAACCCTAAAAATGATAGCTTTCATTTACACTATTTTTTGGTGTTCAATTGGATGCGAAAGTATGAGAGTTTTGGTTATGGTGATTGGTCGGTCACACATCGTTGGGTGTTCGGCCAATTAACGGCGTTGGTGGTGGCAGACGTTGGCAAAGAGATTAAAATTAAAATTTTAAAAGTTATGGAGAGCTTTTTAGGATTTGAAAAATTTTAAGGTTATTTTTTAAATATAAATTTTTATTTTAAATAAAAATTCTCAAAATTTCCAAAACGTTACACGTGTCACTTAACGGATATTTTTAACTCGATTAACGGACATACACTTAAAATGATAATAGAGAAAACTTAAACACTTATTTTTAACGAAAAATTCTTTATACACTAAAACGTTTTTCAAAGTATGATTTAGACACTTATTTTTGTATTAAACCATTTTTATATAATAAAAATAAATTGAGATTAAATTTAAGTTAAAAGATACTTAATCCCATCGGACTAAAAAAACATGTTAATAACAAATCACACACTATATAAACACATACACATATGACTAAAACTAAAAGTTGAACAAATATTAAATTACAATTGAAATTTTGTCTAAACGCTAACCTTTATTTTAAAACCCCAAAGATATTATTCTAAACACCCCTGAAACCTCAAGGAAAACCCATTGTAGCCCCTCACCATTCCTCGTCTCGCTCAATGCCTTTGCCATCTTGTCACGTCCAGGGATGGCTCAGGGGGAATGGAACGGGTGAATTAGCTCCCTAAAATTTTCAAAATTCAATATAATTTAAATATTTGTTTATATTTTTATTAAAAATTTATTTTCGTTCATAGAATTTTGTAAAATAATATTCTCTTAAAATTTTATGAGTTCATTCTCTAACAAAATTTTACGTTCATTTCTGGCCAATCCCTAAACACCATTTCTCCATGAAAATAAATATCAAATCAAACAGATTTTAAATTATAAAGATTAAATCAAAATATTTATTTATTAAAAACGACCGGACAGACTAAAATATGACTACACGGAGCATATGAAATCAAACAGTAATGGTTGCTCTATGAGTAACCAGATCTTCTCTTGTCTAATAACAATAACAACACAGTATTACGATGAAATAAAGAATACAGAGTCGGTCCGTTCAGAGTTTTTTCCCCCAGAAATTAATTAACAACGAAACACTTCTTCCTAATTTCTCCAGCATTCCCTGTGAGAACTCCAACGGCTTCCATCTTCTTCATTGACTTTGCAAACTCCTTGAAGAATTTCTCCTCGTCAAGCAACTTGTGGACGATGTGGCTCGAAACGTTGTTCGTCAAGAGTGCGGCATCAGACTGAAACAGGCCTTTGTGTTGCTTAACCGTGAAGTAATAGTTATTATCGAATTTCAGCGCACTACCGGGAACCATCGGCACGACGGTCGTGTTGTCACTAAGGCTTCGGCATTGAGACTTCAAGAAAGCTGCATAAGTTGCATTCAACGAAGGATCTTGATCTCCACTTCCAGTAAAGTTGTATAGCCTGTTTCTGAAGGTATTGCAGTGACCTACTCCAATCGTATGAGCGCATGCGTTCAACGTTCTGTTAGCACTCCGTACATCGTTAATCTACGGTGAATGATAAACTTTCCGTTATATTTTCGAATTATTTGTACCTGATAAGGCCACTAAGTCTGGTCATTGAGGCCTTGTTTAGCAAAACTTTGTTGGAGGATGGTATAGTTGGAGAAAGGAGAAGGAAGTTTAACCAGCGCCTCGGAACTTCGCGACACTTACCGTCTCTTCTACCGGTATAAACTTCCCACTATGGTTTTCCGAACTGCAAGTAATTAAATTGTTGAATGCTTTCATTTAATCAAAATAAACATGGTTTTGATTTAACTTACTTTGTAAGAAACTGCATCCCTAGCAGTCAAGGGCAGAATATCAGCACAAGATACTACGTTCGGACATTTCTTCTCAACTTTCGCTTTTATACCGTCGATGACTTCGAACCCAGACAGGCAGACACCGTTTGGTTTGGAATCGCTTCTTTCTCGGCAGTGTTGTTAGCCGTCGAGTTCAACAGGACCGAACCATCGCAACCCTGATTTCCCCCCCGATTAACATGTAAACGTACGCGAGCATTTATGATTTAATTTAACAATTTGCAATGTACAATAAACATTACAGAACGCCTTACCCTAACAAAACAGTCATGAAAATGCATTCTCAGGAACTTTGCAGGCAACATGGGATCGTTGGCAACATATTGCTCAGTAGTATTCTTGATTATTATCTCCGCATCATGACATTTATGCCTGTAAAAATTCTTCTTAAGGCCACTTCCATGGCAGCTCCCGACAACTCCGGAAACCACCATGCAAAGCAAAATGAAACCCTGGTTTCTCATCTTGTAGATGTAGTAATTCTAGTTGAATCCGGCAATGCCATTTGTGAAACAAGTTCGGCCGTATTTATACTCGTCCTCTTGGAATCTTTCGTAGCTAGGATCTCCAGCAAATGTGTATTTTAGTGATATATTTTAACATTACAGTTACAAAATTATATAAAAAGTCAGCTCTACAGACGTGTATACAAGTTAGATATGAAATTAATGAGGGTTTATATTTTTAAGAATTAGCCCCTCTACTTTTAGAATTCTAAAAATTTAAAAATAAACAAATAAAAGAGTGTTTATATGAATACATAAAATATAAACAAAATTATAATCACTATTAACTATTATTTAACGTTTTTTCTGTAAATGTAGGGTGAATATACCCTTTGATAAGAGAGACTCATATCTCTGCATACGCGATGGTTGAATCAATGACTTCAAGGGATAATAACAAATCTTTTAACCATTGAAATCTTTTGTTTCATGCAATTATTATTTAACATTTAATCAGGCTTATTGTTTAGGGAATATGATTTTGGAAAATCATATGATCAATTCTGGTTATTTTACTATTAAATGTCTTATTTAAGGTTTAGTTTTTCAGATTTTAAGGTTCAAGGTTAAATATATTAATCTATCATTTATGGGTAATTTAAGTGGTATATATAAAATAAATATTTAAAAAAAGTAATTTAATAAAATAATATTTATAAAATATGAAAATTTAATTAGATTAAAAGAATATATAGATTATTTAAACAACTTTTTATAAAAACCTAGTTTTTCTTTCCATTGGTGTGTTGTTTATCCCTTTTCTTTTTTCCGTTTTGTTGATCGACAACAGTACCAACTTTAATGTTTGTTGTTAACTGCCGGTATTCTTCATTGTCCGTTTACAATAAGCCTGCTTATATGACATATTTTCATATGTTTTTATGGCACATCTTCTTCTGCCTTTTGGCATGTCATTCGTTTGTTTGACCGTTTTTCAGTTATTTTTTTCTAAGGATTGATTTGACATCCCATGACTGATCAAGATGGCGTTTATCTGATATTTTGATGATCTTCTCTGCTTTGGACTCTGGG